AATGTGGTCCTCCTGGGATTATACTTTCATCTCGCATACTCAGGGCTGATTTGGTTTGTTTTCTGATTGCAATATTATTCAAGAAGTAAAATACAGAGGAAGAGTGCTTCCCTTAGGTGGAAAAATGTTATAGTGATTACATACAGCATGCTAATTTTCACCAGATGTTCCTTTGTGGATGAACAACTCTGTTCCCCTGTATGATGGAAGTATTTTGATCACTTTGATGCTTTCAGTAACATACTAAGAGTAACTTCGTTTGAAATGACACTCTGCTATGCAATGCAGCATGGGATCTGATGCAGAGTCCCAGGACTGGCAAAAGGGGGGTGTACTATATGCCCTTGCTTTAACAGAAATAGATAAACTGCAATAGAAATTTGCATATGGAAAGTACAGAAATGAATGGGCCCTCCGGAAAACCCGATTATTGAGCATTTATCCTGACTGGCATACACAAAGGTTATGTGGACTATGTCCAATCTTTACTGAGCATTCATTCTCATTTGTTTGCATTTAGGTTATACAATAATGAACAGAGGCGGATTTAGGGGAGCGCAACTGATTCAGTTGCACTGGGTACAGAGTCTCGGGGTGCTGCTGGAGATGCCGCAACTATGATTTAGACCGGGGCACGAGAGGTGGAGGGGAGCTGTATCTTGGCATTGCACAGGGTGCCGCTGAAATTTGGGACCCCTGGGCCTGCCCCTGTAATGATTTGCTAATTCACTGTTTATACATCTTATTGTTAATCATCCGTTCCACACTTTTCAGTACAGTTTCCTATCACTTTCCTAACCACAAAGAAAGAAAGAAAGAAAGAGAATTTGTTGTGCTAGAGCAGCAGAACGCTTTAATCCTCTTTACTTGCACAAGCCTAAATTTACGGTATGTGCTTGAATCCCTCCTGCAAAATAATGACAGCCTGGAAGCAAGCAAAGTAGGCAGTACAAAGGCATCACCCAAATGGGAATAGGAGAGCAATTAAGAGCAGAAACGAGCAGGCTTAACCACAGCAACGGTGCATAAATATTACACAGTGAAGAACAAAGTAATGGAACAGTGCAATGACCAGCTCTTCACTTAATAATGTAACTTACTGTAGCTTCACTGCAGTTTAGAGAAATGACAGCTTACGGCAGCTGAAAATGTGGAAGGAGGAGATAACCTACAGATAAGCACACCTGGCAAGGTGCAGGGAGGTGACATATTTATCTTGCACCAAACAGGCATGGTAAATGTTGGAGTAAGGCCTGCCATAAATTACCCTGACATAGCATTACAGGTAACACAGTCTCACTTGTCTTCCTTTGCTGTGAATCGTAGCCTCCTAGGAATGCCAAAGTACACTTTGGTCTTAAAGAATAATTCGCTTACTCGATTAGGGCGATAAGTGATGGGCTTGTGTAGGGCAGAGAATGTATGTCACACTTTTTCATCTAAGATGTCCTTGAAGCCTTTCATTTCATGAACTTGCTTTGTACTCCCCCTGTTTTAAAGCCACCATTCTTCGTGCCATTATTAACAGATGGAAGGTCATATTGCTGGTCATATAATTTCCAAGACTTTCTGAGGAGCAGTAAAACAGCTCAAGCCAGGATTTATTTATTTATTCTATGTGAGCTGTAGTTACCACTGAAAAAGAACAGCAGTTAGGTGAAGTTGCTAGCAAAAGATGTATGGGATTAATGGAAAATGTATCAAAAGCTCCAAGAATGGAATTGGGAAAAGTAGTGGAAGTCTTTAGCTTAAGTTAAGAAAGAATCCAAAAATAATTAGGATTGGAGAAAGGCAACAAAACTTTATACCTTTCAATTAAAATAGCCTGGTTTGGCATGAAAACTGCCTTGATTAAGGGCCACCAGGTGGCGCATTGGAAGATGGCCGACAATAACATCTCTCTGACCCATACGAGGTACTAAGGGGCTACTATGGGAAGTATGTAGCCTTCCTGAACTCCTCCAGGATGTGGAGGAGAACTGCCCTGCCAGCGGTGTTCACAATGCTCCCCCTGAAACGAGTGATGGGGGTGCCGAACACTTGGCAAAAGGCCCTCGGTGAAGTCAGACCTTCCTGACGCCGATTCCAATTAGCGCGTGCTGGTTGCTTCAGCTGGAATTATAATTGGAAACATATGATTGGAAACGAAGCTGAAAGCACATACATCAAGTAAAGCTCGAAGATAAAACTGCTGATTAATGGATCTCTGCGACCAGGAGTGACGGATGGATAAGTAAATCTTCTGATGAATCACCATAAGGAGACTGTATGTTTGGAACCAAGGGGGGGGGGTGGAGGAAAAAACTCTTTTTTTCTTCGCATGATGTGATATTAATAACCCTCCACCCCAGATATAAACAAGATTTCTATGAATCGCGTTTCTATGAATCATAGGCAGGATTTTAAGAACTATGTGGGACGGAGTATAAGAAAGAAGACTGCAGAACGGTGAGAAAGGAAGAAATTTTTATGACGCAGTTAAAAAATGGCGTCTCGCCATGACAGGTTTACCGAGGAAGAAGGACTGGGGGAGGAGAATCAGGACTGTTTGAAAGAGAAGGAATGTTGGAATGTAAGTTTGACCTGACAGAACCCCCAGACTCATTTGTTATTTGGTAAGCCTGAGAAAAATAAAGGACAGATCGGAGATTAACTTTGTTTATGGAAGCGTTGTACAGAGGCTGTCCCGGATCGATATGATTTTTGGAAAAGTACAAAATCCACATAGAATGCCAGCTGTTACCCTGCTTGTGAAAATCATCAGAGATTGCAAAGAAAGGAATTTATGATAAACCGTGTTCTCCTTCATGGAGAGCACGTGTTGCGGTGGGGGCCGCCAGGACACTCCAAAGTTGGGGGCGGGCTAATTGTTCATTGGCCACTGATGCGATTGGGGCTTCCCTTGTTGTTGGGAAGAAGTTAATGTTGCCATTTGTTGATTGACAGCCAGAAATGCTAAAACTCCTTGCACGAGGCTAGGGCTTCCTCTTTCGACAGTGCATCGGATTGCCCGTCCCCCCCTCCCTAGAATTAGGGTTGTTCGCTTTGACCTTGCTATGCCTGTCATGGGGTCATCTGCTCTTGGGGCAGGGGCCTGGTAGGAATTTTGTCCATCTGGCTGATTGGCTGGGGCCATTTGGTTTTTGCCTACTGCGTAGCAAATCGTCACAACTTGTAAGGTTGTGGTTAGGCATTGGTTTATGGTTTGGTTGGTTGAGGGAAGTGGTTGAGTGCCTGCCCTTGGTAGGTTGAGTGCCTGCCCCCTAATGCTGCTGCTGCAAGGGATTCCGTTAAAGGAATTGGGGGCTAACTATTGCTTGTCCACTCTGTCAAGGGGGCTCGGGCCATAGCAATGAGCTCCTGGTTGCATTTGGGGTGAGGGCAGGGTCCCTGCTCCGCGTAACCCCCAAGTGTATTCCCCTATTCTGACTTTTGCATTGTGCGGAATGTCAGTCTGTCCCCCATGGTGGGGGCAGATAGTCGCAACCAATGCCTAAGCAACCACTCACAAATTTGTATTTCAATAAAGTTGTGGCCAAAATTATGCCAAAAATCTTAAACAAAAATTCTGTGTGATGTGTGAGTTATTGGGGTGGCCCTGGGGACCTCGACACACAACAACAAGAAGAGAAAAGAAGTAACAAAGGACTTTCCAGATCAAACTGGAGAGAACTGTCTAATTAATGCAGTAAGATAAGTGATGCTGTTTTGGACTCGAGCTGAGCTTGATGTATGGGTACCCACAACAAAATTTAAAATTTGGCTGTATAATTTGGAATCAATGTGATAATGTGATGTGATTGGCCTGTTAATAAAAATTATTAAAAAAAGAAAAAAAGAAAACTGCCTTGATTACCCTGTATGATGGCCTCTGTTGAGAGAGTGACATGAGGAGTGTATCCCTGTAAATTTTCCTTGATCTCTTAGCAGCTTTTGATACCATCAGCTGCGGCATTCTTCTGGAGTGGCTGTCCAAGTTAGGTGTGGGCTACACTGCTCTGCTGTGGTTCCAGTCCTTCTTGGATAGTTGTTCTCAGAGACTGATGCTTGGGTAATACTGTTAGGCCCCATAGAACCTTCAGTGTGGGGTTCAGCAGGGTTCAATTTTGCTCTTCAACATCTACATGAAACCACTGAATGGGATCATCTGGAGTATGTTCTCAGCAACTTGCTGATGACATGCAGGTCTACTTTCTGCTTTACATCTGCAAGTGTGCCAGGGATGTGCCACACTGATGCCTTGCAGGTTTATATGCCCTCCACCTGACCAATTTCAGCAGCAGAAACAGTGCTGTGTTATGTAGAGCCCAACACCATGATTGCTGTTTCTGGTCATCAGGTGATCAACTGATCAATTTCCTCCACCTCTTCAGCTGATCTGCATAGCTAAGCTGAGGAAGGGCTGCCTGCTTGAATGTGTCTGTGTGTGCATGCAAAAAAGTGTAAACTATTGGCCACACCTATTCTGGCATGTGGCCCCAAGGAAGGCTGGACAAAGGGGAATGTACTGCTTGGGCCTTGGGTCAAATAAGGTTAGCCATCCCTGTCCCAGGGAAGGCAAAATTTCAGCTTTTTGATAAGACAGATGATGTGTATAGAACTTACAGAGCTACACAGAGATTCATCCCACACACAACAACAAAAAGCCCTCCACTCTTTCAATACATACTTCTTTGTGATCTAGAGCCTTTTATCTGCAGGATTCTTGTGATGCCAATTTTGTTAGCAAGGACTGCAAGCGTATGATCATAGGTGTGGATTAAGAGGAATCTTGTACTGCAATCCTTCCTAATAACTGGGACTTATTTCTCCATAAGGTCTTTAGGAGTGGTTGGTTAATTAGCACTCACATGGCACGGAAGCCTTTGGAAATTGCTTCCATTGACTTTAATGAACCAGGACTGCACTTTTAAAGCATAACTAATGAACCTAAATTTTAGATTCAGGTTGGTAGCCATGTTGGTCTGACACAGTCAAAATAAATTTTAAAATTAAAAAATTGCCCAGTAGCACCTTAGAGACCAACTAGGTTTGTTCTGGGTAAAAGCTTTCGTGTATACCCAGAACAAACTTAGTTGGTCTCTAAGGTGCTACTGGACATTTTTTTAAAATTTTATTTCGAACCTTAATTTTAAATATACTCAAATATAAAGAAACTAAACGCTTTTCCAGCATGAGCAACCTCTGTTCGGTGAGTTTGCTTTGTGCGATGGATTCCCTAGCACTCCAGGAAGAAGAAAAATCTATACATACTTCGATAAGTGAGTTGGTGTGTTTGTATGATACCGACAAGCTGAAGGTTAGTTTCTGAATTGATTAGAATATGTTCTGACAGTAGCTGGCTCAGCACGGGCCATTCAGAGATGGTTAGAACTCTCAGCATGGCACAGTCACAAGATTCCTCTGCAACTTGGTGGCACTCTGTTCTTCCAGCATAATTGTATTGAGCTTTGTAGGGAGGGGAATCATGTTGATGCCAGTGACAGATTCATGTTATCTCTAAATTTTCAGTAAATCAGCAGAGACTAAGGCAGTGAGGCAAAGCAAGGAACTCTGAGAACGGCATGGAGAAATATCAAGGGTAAAATGTTCCATCTTCTGTTCGTAGGTGTTCGGCTTAATGGGGGACATATACCAATTTATTTGGAGCATTTGACAGTTTATGCTTGTCCCCTTGACATGCTGGTTGGCAACAGCTGTGCCAGTCTCTGCATTTTGAAAGACGATATTATTCTTGTTGCCCTTGGTGTAAGACACTCTGCACATTTTGTCAGAGGTGGCTGGTGCCTGGGTTTTCAACCTAGATTCTATTTTTGACTCACTTTCAACTGTACCCCGAACCAGGATGGATGGTCCCTGTTTGAGGTCTGAATCAGGGCAGGAAATGGCACCTGTCCCTCAGGTCATGTTGCCCAATGCCCATCAACTTGTTTTGGGCACCAGAAGCAGAAAGGCTCTCAAGCCCCTTTCTCTGTCCCTGGTAAGAGTAAATTAAATAACTAACCATTGATTATCTTTTTATGATATCCCAGATCGACTGCCTGAGTTGGCCTCCTCACTCTGTTTAATGGTAGGACTGACTCTTGACATTACAATTCACACTAATCTGTGTAATGAGATGCTTTGAGCACTCATGTATATGGAGAGGGGCCAGAAATTAATGTATCCTCTCCAAACTGTCTCCTTGGCACAACTGTTTTTCCTCATCCTAGACGACAGAGAACCCCCCACCTACTAATTTCTCTATTGACCTCATGTTGATGTACCCTTCTCTGTAGAAAAGGTTGGGTTGCACAACTTTCCTGTATCTCTTTTAAGATAGTCAAATTTTTGCCTGAATGTGTCCAACATGAGCTCGTCCTGCAACCTTTTAAAAAATCTGGAATACCTCACCCACCCCATCCACCATCAGGCTGCATTACTAATGCAATCAAATTTGAAGGATAATTGCTAATAATTAATCAGAGATGTAAATCAACTTAGAATTCTTTTTCTTTCATGCAGTTTAGACTGTACCACTTGTGGCTTAATAAATTACACTACAGAAGAAATAGGACTCTGATGAGGACAGCTTTAAGTACTCATATTGTGCAGTAAGATATGTGGAATTTACTTCAAGCTTCTGTTTTATAAGGGTGATTTACATAAGAATGCTTAGTGTTATGGCAGAGTGAGAAGGGTGTTAATGCCTCAGGGAGCTTGCTTGAAATGTTATTGTACATTTTTATTGTAATCTCTTGGTTTAGAGGAACTTTAGGGCTATTCTAGAACCAGTTACTCAAACAACAGCAAAAAGTGACCCCTTCTCACAAAAGAACCCACAATAGGAGCTGCAACTAAGGATGGTTGGTGAATTTGATTTCTGTGAATTCTGATGTGAGCATATCTCAGACTAGTGCATGGATTGGAACACAATTATTTGTATGTTCATATTAATACCTTCATAGAATCATAGAATCGTAGATTCTCATTTAGTCCAATTTCCTGCGATGTAGGAATATGCAGCTGTCTCTTATGCAAATTGAACCTGCAACCTTGGCATTATCAGCGCCACTCTCTAACCAACTGAGCTATCTTAAAGAAGGTCTGGTAATAGGGACGCGGGTGGCGCTGTGGGTTAAACCACTTTGCCACTTGGGCTTGCCGATTGAAAGGTTGGCGGTTCGATTCCCCATGACTGGGTGAGCTCCCATTGTTCGGTCCCAGCTCCTGCCAACCTAGCAGTTCAAAAGCACGCAGTGCAAGTAGATAAATAGGTACCACTCCGGCGGGAAGGTAAATGGCATTTCCGTGCGCTGCTCTGGTTTTGCCAGAAGCGGCTTAGTCATGCTGGCCACATGACCCGGAAAGACTGTCTGCGGACAAATGTTGGCTCCCTTGGCTTGTAAAGCAAGAAGACCCCAGAGTCATTCGCGACTGGAAGTAATTGTCAGGTGTCCCTTTACCTTTAATGTGGAGTAAGCCAGTACAGATCCCACAGAATAGGTGTAACAAAGGCACACCATAATGCCAGCTGACACTCTAGCAGCCGCATTTTGCACTAGCTGTAGTTTGTTGACTGTATTCAATGGAAATCTTATGTGCAGGATATGGCAGTAGTCTAAATGGGAGGTTAATAGAATATGCAGGATTGTGGCCAGACTATCTTGGTCCAGGAATGACCATAGCTGGTGAACCAGTCATAGCTGGAAAGAAGTATCCCTTGCTACTTAGGCCACCTAAGCTTCCAGTCATGGCGTTAGACAAAGAGCAGCCCCAGACTATGGACTTACAGTTCCATCCAGGACAGCCTGAATTTCCAGTTCCCAGATGCAAGAAGGACCCACTAGCAGTGCCTCTATTTTGTCAAGACTTTGCTTCAGTTAACTGGCCCTCATCCAAGCTATTACTGACTTTAGGCACCAGCTTACACCAATACAACTTCATCGGCTTAGATGGTAAAAGGCATATGGCAGCCACACCTTCAACTGCTCCGTATTTGATGGGGGCATGTCAGCATTGTTTGGGAGAATGTCCTTGCAGGCCAAATTAGGGTGTCTTATTAGGCTTGCAGGCCTGGGGTTCTCCACCCCTGGTATTATGTGCTAGAAATGTGTATTTGGAGCTCAGTGTCCAAATCCCCTTAAAAGCACCATATGCTCCTCTGCAAGGCACCACAGCATAATTTCCATAGGGCCAAGAAAAAGTCGCTCAGTACTACTCTCTGGAAACAACTCTCCAGGAAGGAGCAAAACCAATGCCTAGCTCCAAGGAGATACCATGGCCTCTGAGAGATGGATGAGAATCAACAGGACGACACTTCCTTTGTTTCTCTCCTGACACCTGCTGTCAACAAGAATGACGTAATTTTAATGCCCTGAAGCACGCAACCAAAACCAGCCCATTCCATATTTAAAAATCATATTGAGTGTGGGACCTATAACATGTGTTGGAAGTCTGATGGACTCAGCCACCCCTGTGGTGGTCCTGGCAGCCATGAAGTCTCAAGCCAGTTCTCCCAATGCAGTCTCACTTGGGGACACTGAAATCCTCCAAGACTGGGAGGTTTTCCATCACCACCTTTGAGAATGCCTCAGGTACACTAACTGGATCCCTTTTCAGTCACAGTGACCCAACACCAAGTAACAAACCTTCCAGTTTGGCACCCAGAAGCACATTCTTCCTGGTGAGGGAGATGGAATTTTTGTAAAACAAGCAAACAAAAAAACCTTTGCAGACATCTGCCTAGTTGTCCGGCCTCTGTTTGAGCTGTAGAGAAAATGCAGAGGATAAGAGGATAAAATATATCTGAAAACACACAGACTGAGATAAAATACATATTAAATACACATTTTGTGATATAATAGTATTCATTAATTTTCACGTTTATCTAAAAAATACCAGATTGATGCAGAACTTATGCAGACCTGAGTGATGGGCAGAATTGCGAATGAACATATGCAAATTGGGCAGTTGGAATTAAATGTGCACTAGTCTGGAAGACTGAGAGACAAATGGGAGTTGTCTGCCATTTGATTTTTGTTTATCTGATTCTGAAATGTTTGGAGCCAGCTCTGATGCATTGACGTAGTAGGAAATTGAATAGGAGCCACTGATGTTGTCCTTTCATTGTGTGTCACAACAAGAATTGTCTGGCTGAAAGCTGTAGCTTCCATGTAGGCAGCACCAGTGTCATTAAGTCTTATGCTTGTTTCAAGCACATCTTATTTAAAGAGTGTACAAAGTGAACCGAAGGAACAACATAAGAAAAGGATGCACCTAATCAACAACTGGTGAGAAGAAAGAGGTTTGGATCTTTGCTGAGGAGCAGCTCATTTGTCTTTTGGCCTCTCTCTCTCTGCAAGAGACACACCAAGGGCTGAACCACACAGTCAGTCTGTTTGAGGCAGCTGCTGCTTCTCCTAGTTTGTGCTCATGGGGAGCCAGCAGTCCTGCAAACATACTCGGCACCATTCACCCCACGTCAAAGATCCTTTCAGTGATGAACAAAAGAGCAAGTGAAGACAGCTGTAAGCCCAGCTGTTCTATGGAGGCTGCTCCATGCAGTGAGCCATTTTGTGTTTACTGACTCACTGCATGGATTGCCAGCCCCTCACTGCTGGTTTGCCTCCATGTCACTGCAGGCTACTGGGAATGTTTAGCAGTGAGGATGTGCAGAGACTAGAGCTGAGGGAGAATTTTTTTTCAGTTCACATTTAAAGAAAAACACTTTCCAAAACGATATGTAAACTACAACATCTATCATTTGAAATTCAAAGTTCTCTGAATTTTGCAATGAAGTTCAGGGGTATTGTCATGAGAACTACTCTCTCTCTCTCTCTCTCTCTCTCTCTCTCTCTCTCTCTCTTTGTGTGTGTGTGTATTTATGTATATGTGTACATACACACACACACGTCACAAACGGATGTGAAAATGTGGATAACTGATCTTATGATTTGAAAAACGAGAAACTGAGCGAAACTGAAATTGACATATTTTCCCATTCCTAGGAGAGACAAGCCTCACTCTGAGAACCTACTTACCATAAACAGGGAGAAACACTGCTGTATTTCTGTGTGAAAAATAGACACTTTTTATTCATTTGTTAATGTACTTAGAACTCTCAGAAAGTACTTACAGAGCCCAACCACTTTGGCCTTCAGTTTTGTATAAATTGTGTTAGCTCAGTTAAATTGTGCCCTCCCCTTCAAAAAGTGGTTGCAAAGGGATGCCTTTTGAATTTATGCATCAGCCTTTATGCTCTTCCCTTCTTAATTGCCTTTTGTAGCCTGGAACGTACAGCTTTCACGTTTATGTGCAACTCCTCTACTCGCATCTCCTCTGACCATTTGCCTGATATATTTTGGATTATCCATTCTGATTATAAAGGTCCTGCCTTGCTTCACTGAGCATTGTATTTTCCATCCTCACCTATTGACAGTATCTGCTGCAATACATGATTCATTGACTCGCTGCTTTCATTTTTATTGTGAGCTATTTTGTGCTTTCTGGTGTTTGGGCTTGTTGCTGCTTAATTCTTGCATGATTTTTTCTTACTGCCATTCCTTCCGTAATATTCCCTGAGTAGCAGGAAGCTCAGGCAGTCTTTCTAGAAAATTTAATTTGGATGATGGTAATCTGACAGCACAGCATCCCCCCCCCCAAAAAGAACCAATTTCCTTAAATATGAGGATCTATAGGGCTTGGGTGGGAAGCAGCCATCACTGTAAATTATGGCTTTCCTAAGGGAGCATCTTTACCTGTCCTTCTTGATATTTGAACTGAATATTGGTTGAACCCCAGTGCTCACTTTAGCCTGTAAGTATGGGAATGGTTGTGTGTGGGATCTTTCTGTACATGCATAGAACCGTACCACATTAACTCTGCATGCTCCATTTCCTGCTGTGTCCAAGCAGCAACAGAAGCAGATACTATAACCCATAAGACTGTTGGGGACTTCAGATGTCCACCTCTATGCAATGAAAGAATCAGGGTGCTCCTTGTATGGACAAGCTCCAGGCATGCACATTGGTAAATGTTTAGTGCCTTCTTAGTCAACTACAGACAGTGGAGTGATGGGGTCACTTGTGCATTGCCAAGGGCCTCTTTAATGCATCTGAATCCTGTCCTCTGTCCACCAGACCATACTGTTGCTGGCATCTGTCTGTCTCAGGAGACAATGGAGGAGCGCACATTTGGGTGTGAAGTCGAACTGTTAGAAGGTCACAGCACCTTCTGTGGTTGTAGAGTGTCAGGAGTTTCATTCTCTCTCGTGCTGCAGAATGTGTGACTACTAGATCACATGCTCTGTGTGTTGACATTCCATTCTGTGGAAGCGTGGGAATGGAAGGAACTGTACGCCACTTCCGTCTTCTTTGTTTTCTGTTCTGTTGTTGTGCTCTCTCGGAGGAGAAGAGACACGCCATGATTGCTCTGTTCTTTATTTTGATCCTGTAAATAAATCACTAAACTCAGATGCTACGTATCCTCAGCCTCAGCTTCTGCTATGCTCTGCTGCTTGCTTGAACATCTGGAGGAGTGAATGCTGTGCTATGCATTCCGGACTGGTGCTAGGAGAAGGCCATCTCCCACCCAGAAGCACCAACACATGGAAGACACATGTTTTGTTGCAGCTGGGGCAGATGAAGGCGTCTGGTTGTCCTGCTGCGGATGCACCATGGCATTTCTCTCTGCACTCCTTCCACAGGTCATTCCTCCTCTGGTCATTGCCTTGACCTCCTCTGGTCATTGCCTTGACCTTACTGTCTCCAGACACTGCGGTCATCTCCAAGGGATTCCCACACGGTGAAGTTGATGTTGCCAGCCTTCATGTCACATCTACAGACATCTTTGTAGCACAGAGTTGGTCTGCCAATGGGTCTGGCACTTGAAATCATTTCCTCATAGAGCACATCCTTAGGGATCCTGCCATCTTCCATTCTGTGGACATGACCAAACCAGCATAGATGTTGCTGAGAGAGGAGTGCAAACATGCTGGGAATGTAGGCTTGGGAGAGCACATCCTTGTTTGACACTCTGCCCTGTGATACTAAAAAACGTCCTGATGTGGCACATGTGGAAAGCATTGAGGTGTTGCTCCTGA